CCATTTTTAAAAAGCTATCATACGCTCAATTCGGAGCTCATTTGCTCCGGTTATCGCCGTTTGAAGTTGGATAAGCAATTAGCCCAAACAACCCCAAAACAGCTCCAAACCACTCACATTACTCGAATTACTGCACTCAATAGACTCAAACATTTGCTCTCACATTTTTATCCTACAAACTAGACATCTCAAACTTCATTTTGATATATCACACGCTTAATTTGACGGAGAAACGAAGCGGGAATTAATTTCCCAAATCCGGTCCAGAATCTGCCTCAGGTGCAGGGGCACATGGGCAGTCGTGTTTCTCTATTTTTTTCAGGCCGAAGATCAACCCAGATTTTCCTCAAACTTGGACACAAGGTAGAGGACATCTCAACCTTCAAAATGGCGTATGGCACGTCCCTAGGGGACTTCTATGCAGGGAGATATGCTCTCCCGAAGTTTTCCTAAAATCTGCCAATTCTACAGAAAATTCGCCAGAGTTTCCTTTGTTTTTCCAATAATCCCAAATTTGTAAAAGATCATTTAAACCTCAAATGTACCTAATAAACACATGATAATACAGTAATAATCCAATGGGTGGCACACACAAGGACCAACAACGCCTTGGGGCACTTACAACCCAATCCAGTTTATAGTTATTAAACATAGAGTCCATATAAATCATTCTTAAGTAGTTGCAATCACTAACACCTTTTTCATGCATATTTCCATCATACATATTATCATAACCTAAAATAGGCCTAAGGCCCTTCCATCATAATTAGACATGCATCAATACTATTACAATATGGCTTTACAAATTACAACTTGAAACTAAAACTTCAAATTACATTCTTCTAAAATTTCAACTTAATTTAAAAGACAACATAACCAAATACATCACTACTAGACTTAGGCAAAATGGCATGAACAAGATGCTAATGAAGCTACTAATAAATACAAATGACATGTTCATGCCCTAAGTCTAGCCTAGGCCACACGGCCAACAAAATGCAAAATAAGAAACGCTCCATCGCTCACTCTGCGGGCCTCTTGCCCGAGGCTCCTGCTCCACTGCTACCTCCTGAAATAAATGCCCCGAGACGGGGTGAGATATACGAATATATCTCAGTAACCAAGAGGTTCTGGAGAAAACTCCACCCAATGGTTCACTTCGATGCATATCAATAGAATACAACAACCACTTTGAAAACGGGATATAGCAAGGGATTTAGAGAATGGGGAATATAAAGAAAACAAAATACGACGATACGGGATGGTAACCCCAATTCCACGTACGCCCTCGGCATATATAAGCCTATGGGTATCATCCAAGGTGTGTTCACAGAAACCACAACCATGATGCCCAAACCAACCAAAACGCCAAAGACATTCCTAGTGTGCTCCTACCCGGATCACACACCATGACACGCGGTCAACTGGAACTCCCTCCTGGAGACCTATCCAGCGGAAGTCCGAAAATGCCCGAAGGCTAATAAAACTGTCTACTGGCCAGAGACTCGGTACATAAGTACCCATAGCAATAATGCATGCATGCTCATGTGTTATATACTATTCATACACACTTCCTACCGTTACCATCAACTGGCAAGGTGGAACAGAAAATGGGAACAAGCCCCAATACCAAGAGGTTACCTTAATTCGTGTTTCCACAAGCTTCGCAGCAGCTTATCCCTCAACTCGGTACACAGCGGAATGCCTACACAGAGGACATTCCCAATCACTCTTAGATCAACCAATACATGTTAATTTATAATTACACATGCAATGAACCAATTTCTTACCTCAATCCACTTGGTCCCAGACCAAGGGCAACTCACTGATTCAAGATTCGGGATTCAGGTCGACGTACGGCAACCTATACAATAACGTACATCCATCAGTACTCGTCAAATAGTATCAAAACGCACAACACAAAAATCCTCCCCATCCTCCCTTGATGGTTCGGCCATTGTAGTGTAAATGTGAGATTTATTTTTCTAAATTTTCTTTCTCATTTTGTTACGTCTCATTAGGTTGTCAATAGGCCAGTTCAAGTGCCGGTTCGTCATTTTCGCGTCGAATTACATCAAAACGCGAAAATCGCCAAATCACCCAGTTTTCCCCTTGGAGGTTCGGCCATGTAGGTGTAAATTTGAGATTTATTTTCCTAAATTTTCTTTCTCATTTTATAACACTCCCTTAGGTTGTTTAGAGGCTAGTTCAATCGTCGTTTTTCCGTTTTTCGACATTTACGCATCGTTTTGCGAAATATTTCATTCTGGGCTCATTTAGGTCTCTAAACACAATTTAATTTTCTCATTGATTCCAACACTCTCCAAGCACAACACAACCCATCTAAGCACCATATAACTACACAAATCATTATCCAATTCATTTTTCAACATCAATTCCTCAATCTTTCCTCAAAGAATCGAATTTTAACCTATGGCATTCCAAGGAATTTCCATACAACTTTAATCATTCCAACCTTCATACAACCTATTATATCATCATACCATCATGCCACAATTCATCAAACAAGTCTCAACACCAAAATTCACAAGTCCAAAATCATGATCATCAAATTTTTCTAAGTTAAATTCATCAATTTTCACCAATAAATTTCATCGCATTTCTAGCTCTAATACATCATTCTAACACATTATCATCTAATACACATTTTCAAATTGAGCTCTCTAACACAACACATCATCAAATCAAGCTTTAGGTTTCCAAAAATTCAATCACAATTAAACCATGTAAATGGGATGGAAACATACTCACAACAAAGGCTAGAAGCTAACCCAAGACTCCTCCAAGCAATGGAAGATCAAAAAGCTCCATGGACAACCATTTTTTCTCCAAAATTTCGTGGCTGTAAATGGCCAATATCTCCCCAAATACATGGTTTCAAGGCTCAAGAGTGGTACCAATGTGTTTAGAAGGTTGTTTCCAACAAATTTCAACACAAAAATCACTTGATTTGGTTAAGAAATGATCAAGTTATGGTGAAAAGAAAATTTGAATGCAAATGGGGTTTTTGGGGGAGGGGGCTGCGGGTTTCACGAAGAAGAAGGGAGGAAAGTGATGCATGAATAGTGCCAAGCACATGTGGCTTAAGTCACTTAAGTGGGGTGGGTCCCACCGCCACCTCACGCGATTTAAAACTAATCCGAATTTTCCTCCGATTCCACTAAACGTCCGTAAATTCACAACCTATTTAGAAACTCAAATTTTTAACATTAACTATTCCCCTTTAATTAGGCTTGATCAGATGAATTAAGAGTCCTCCATTCGTTCGGAGAAAACACTGTTTTAAGCTATTACGCGCGCCATTGGCACGCTTCCCCAAACTGTCTTAATTTCATCGAATATTATAAGAAATCATATTTCCTAACTCATTAGACCATTTTTAACTCATATTTGAAACCTAGAGCTCAAAATTCAACTGGCACGTTTTACGGTGCAATCGTAACGCGATATTTTTACCCGCGAAAAACACTATTCACTGATTTTTCTGAAACTTGCCCATCCACTCAATTTTTCGTTCTGAACCCATTTCCAGGGTTATTTTTACCATCTGAGACCTTCTACTCAATTTTTATCTTCCTAGGGTTGCGTGTTGGCTAATTACCGTTTTGCCCTTTCTTTGTATTTTGGCTTAATCTTTAGGATTTTCACTAATCCATCACTTGATTACACACTTAATGGCTTAAATACTTAATTTCAAATTGTGAGGTGTTATAGAAACAGTGATACCTTTCATTAAGGGACTTAGTGCTTGATAATTATGATCTAGAAAAGACATAAACGAATAAGGAAATGTTGTCATAATGAAATGAACCTTTAAAGTATGGTTATTGATGATATTCCTGTTATATACAGACTGTGATTATGTTGTTTGGTGACCTTGGGCCAGTGTGGACTCTTGGTTTTGACGGATAGCTTGAGAGGTAAGCTTTCGTGTCCTCGGTTTAGCCATGTTGTGGTTCCACCATGTCCCATGGGGGTATGGTTATATGCATGCTGTGTTACATGCTTTGAATATTCGAAATGTTGTTGAGCTTTATGTGTAATGGCTTTTAATATGCATGTGTTGTTCCATCTTGACGGTAAGCCTGAGTATGTGGCATCATACAAGACGGTGATCCGGGGTGGATGCAAGTGGCGTCTTGCACTATGTGTGGGTATTAGACGTATATAACTCCTGCATTTCTCTGGCCAGTATAATAGAATTGACACACATGACATGATTATCTGCTGCATTGCACTATTTTAGAACTGATGATGATAAACTGCTTTTGAACTTATATTGCACATGTAAGTGAGCTTGGGGTGGAAGATCCTTGAGGACCCCTTGCCTTACTGAGATTTCTTGTTTAGAGATCTCACCCCACGTTTGGCGAATGCTTATTTCAGGTTCAGGTAGTATTGGGACTGATGCCTCTGGCGGTAGGAGGCCAAAGCTTAGTTGATGTTTAGTGCTATTCATTTTATGCTGGCATGACTGGATTGGATGCTGTTTATGTTTTCTGTCATTTATGATTATTTGAGTTGAGACTGATGTTGGGCTTTGTTGCCTTATTTGGGTGAGCATGAGAGTTGTCCATGCCACTATGTTATTAGTACTTTTGAGTTGAGTTGTATAAACTGCTAGTTGGTTCGATCTACATGTTGTAGCTCCGTGACTAGAGACATACTTATGTTATTTTAATTAATGAGGTATTTCAGTTAGCTGTTTATTGCAATGTACATACAGGCGATGTTTTGAAAATGGTTAAGTAATCAAGTTGGTAATGATTAATGACATCATAATTGAAAAGAAAAAGATATTCCGCATTTTTAATTAAGCGCAGCTTAATACGATAGTGATAACATTACCAGATATATACGGGGTGTTACATTGATGGGTATTATTAATTTTGTTTCTTTTTTTGTTAAATTATTAAATATTAAATGAAATATACACTATATAAATTAAAAAAAATTATTTAATATTAAAACATGTCCCAATGTGTCAAAATCCATAATTTTTTAGAATTGATGTGTCGGAGTGTCGTGTCGTGTCGTGTCACGTGTCGCGTGTCGTATCGGTGCTACATAGACTATATACATCTGTACATAGGCTAGTATAGCCTCTCAAAAAGCCCAGCTAATAACCATGCATCGACAAGATATCAAATAACCAGATCACAATGTAACGTATATATACAACAGACTCCCAAAATAAGCAGGCAACATCTATGCTCAGATCTACTCATCAACCACGGGCCTCTTGCCCCGAGAACGATCGTCAACTGCTGCGATACCTGAAATATGTCCCCATAACGCGGGGTGAGAATGAATCTCAATAAACTTGGGGTTTGTGGAGCAATCTCCACCCAAGAGTCAACTTCCTGCAAGAGAATATCAAGTACCAAGACATAGATAACACCATATAATCCATATTAGAATTTTTGTATCATATATCTTTTCTGATAATTCTCATTTATTCTTATAACGTACTTTCTTATTAATCTTAAGTATGTTCATGTCTTATGTATAAATAAGGCTTTCATCTTATATTCGTAATATCGTATCATATTCAATAGCATACTCATAATGATCAGAGAACTAAAGTTTCCTCGGCTATACCTTATGTACACCGTGATCATATCCATAAATGTTTCCTCTGTTCAGAAACCATAACTTACACTTCCAAGGCTTTATTTCATTGAAGATCATATCATATTAACTTATCATAACATAAATAATATCATATGCATGCACTATATGAATGCAACTACGCAAAGTATCAATATTAGCAACAAGTATATCCATACGGAAACCATAATCGCCACTGATCATGGCGGAACAAAAAGGCTGAGAAAACTCCTAAACCGAAAGCTTACCTGAATGCTTTCCGTTTCTATAACTTGTTTTACACAAAGACTATGAACTTAGCTATCCACGTGTAGTCCGTCTCACAGGGTTCGAATTTCTGGGATTCACACCTCTTGCTTTTCACTGTTACCATAATTAACGTATCGTTAATGACAGTTTATTATATTATTTATTTAAGTAACCAATATTCTTTCGGTTACAAACGTTCATTAACTTAGTGATTCCAACATTCCTTTATTTATTACAATTCATGGCATACTAGGTCTTACTCTTAATTCACAAGTCATAATAGACCCTTAACCGGTTAGTTCAACCACTAATACCCATACATATTTTTATCTCATTAAGACTTACATACACTGTTACGGTCCACAAAACATAGACAAACAATTCATATAAGCTCATTCTAATTCATTTCTCTTACTAACCAAAATCATACATATATAATTTCATCAAGTTTAATTAGCTTAACTCTTGTGAAAGCATTCACACACTATAGTTCCATTAACTTGACATAAAACTAACATCAATTTCCTTAGCCATGTAATACATATTGGTCGAATAGTTACATATACATATACTCATGGATTTACCATTTCAACTTAGTTAATTAATGCTTCATTTTACTAACAATTGCAAAGGAACATCACACACTCATAATATTAATTAACACCATTCAATGGCCAAAATACATGTATAGCCTAAATGTGCCCATGTAAGTTCCCCACAATTTATCAACTTTTATATCATAAAACAAGCATTCTTTAAGCATACCTACATGATCAATAATCATTCTTCATCACTCTTGCACTATATGGTCGATTGACCTATTTAGTGATTCCATAATTTTCTTTCAAGCTTTCAATCGCTTACATCATATTCAAGGAACCTCCAACACCATTTAGCTTAATGACAACATAATTCCATTCACTTCCATGAAATAGCCGATTGGAACTTATAGAGTTTCAAGGATCTTCTCACCACCTCTACACTTTACTCTTTATACTCATCAATCTTTAACCAATCATTGAACATGAATTCATATGCAAAATTAATCAAACACATCATGTCCATATTTAAACTACCATTACCAAATAGTAACTATATGACAAATTGAGAATTCTATCAACTTCACTACATTAATACCAACTTGTTTCATGATAAGTAACCTTCTAATATATATTTTTAGTCACACACACACATAAAACAAGATCAAAATATGTCTTATGTAATTTATTTTACTTGGCCGAATTGGCCTACAAAGGATTCTATAGTCTTTCTTCATAAATTCACTATTAATTTAATTAAAGCAATCATCAAACAATCACTTGAAATCAATGTTTCTTTTAGACAATCTAACAAACACATGGTTGGCACCACTTAGTCATACTATAGCTGAAACTTCCTTTGTGTTTACAAGGTGCCCATATTTTTATTTTTTTTACCATTTCATGCATAAACAAGCTTCAAACAACATAACAAACAATAACCTAACATCTAACCGATCAAATACTTAATTTAAAACACATCATAACAGCACTATATCATGAATACCATCATCACTTCTAAGAATTTAATCAATGAAGAGAAGGTTTAATACCTTAGATAACCTAATCAATAACTATTGACGACTTCCCTAAGCTTAGAATCAACAAGTTAATCCATTTCCTCCTTCCATTCCTAGTACAGGCGCTGCTGCCAAGAGGAAAAGAAGATATTAAAAGCTTCCCAAGGTTAGATAAATTGTGGGTTAGGATGGTGAGGTGCTAAGTTACCTTTTCTATGTTGGAGTCTAGATGAAATGGTGACTCATTCCTCAAGTTCTCCCTTGCCCTTTTTCTAAGATGCCTCACGGAAAGGAAAAGAAGCAAGAAGTCGTAGAGGATATTGAAAGAGAGACGACTTCTACTTTGATGGTCAAGTAATACATAAGTTTTATTTTATACAAGCCTTGACTTTCAACTCCTCATCCTATTGGTCCATTCTTTAAACCTTCTAATACTTTTCTATGGAAGAGTGACCAAGTTTAAAATTCCAAACTTTTTGACTTTCAAACAAGCATTCTTATTGGTCCATTATTATAAGTCTTGACCTTTTTTATTTTAAAAAAACAACTTTCCTAATCTTTTTATAAAAAAGAAAGCAACGTAACTTGAGAGAAAAAGAGACAACATCGTCTATGACTAAGAATTACCACTAAGTGTATTTATATACATTACCTTGACTTTTATCAAATCAAAACTCATCTTATTGGTTAGTAATTAACCGAGTTTGACTTATTTTTTTTAATTAATTTAAGCCCCATTTAATTAAATTAAAAATACTTTGAACCCACTAATTTTTCTAAACTATTTAATTATACATTCTAATCCATATTTAGGCTTATTATGTCTAATCACCATACTTACACCTTAATGACATTCATATTTTTAATCATATCAAATAATTATATTTGAATCCTATTACACTTGTATGATTGTAATATCTTATTAATTATTATTTTAATCTAATAATTTATCTCACATAATTTCCTTGAATAAGTGTTTAATTTAATTAAACACCTAATTAATTTCTTTTCTCTTAATTTACTAATGAGGGTTGTTATAGCATATTTCGCTACACTGTGTAGCGAATTATATGCAAACATATTTCGCTACACAGTGTAGTGAAATATGCCGCGTGGTATTTTGACAAAATTTACTGTTAGCGTGGCAGTCTGGTAAATTATTTTGTCAGGCGTGGCAAAATGTTCACTGTTCCCTTTTATACAAGGGATATCATCTTCAATTCTAGCGGACTCCACTTAAAAAACAAAAAAAAAAGCAAATGGTTCGACATATTTTTTAAAGAGTAAGGGGAAGCTTTTTTTTTTCTTCTCAATAACTGCATAAGTATAAAACCTTTTATATAAAGCAACTAAAGCAGCAGTCTAAACCCTAAGCTTTATTTTGCATTTAGTGAAAACTAGGGGTGTGAATCTATTGACCGAGCTACATTTTAGTTTAAATAAAGGGTTAAGTGTTTGTAATTTTAAATGATAAAATTATGTCATTTTTAATAAAATTATATTATTTTAGTGTGTTTTTGGTATTTTTTTATATTTTTTCTTTTCTATAAAATTAAACAAAAAAGAAAGTGGATGAGAGACAATGCAAGATCACGTACACCAAAACAATATAGTTCCATTAAAAATAATATAAAGTTGTGTTATTTAAAATTTAAAATGACAAATATTTTTTCCCTAAATAAATAACACGGTATAAAATGTTGAATCTGGCTTAACCTATATATGATAAAAAAGATTTACCAAAAATAAAATAAAATTATAAGCATGATTTATATTTAAAAGTTAAAAGGTTTGCCCAAAGTCTATTAATTTATTTAAACTTTCAATACATATCAAAAATTAAAATAATAATAATAAATAAGTTAATACTATTTATTATTTAAATAATTATTTTATTTATTAAAATAACTAATACAATATAAATGGATATGTAGACTAAACTTTTTTATATTTGAACTTATTTTATTTTACTATATTAAATGAGGCCAACAAGACATAAATAGAGTCACGGGATACCCTCACTGAAAATATGTATAGTGGAACATACATTATTTCTCCAATTTCAAATGTGCCTTCATTTGAAGGGTATATGTTACAAGTTCTCCATTGGTAGCTTTTGGGACGGTAACCTCAAGATTAGCAATAGTATAGCTTCCTGAAGAAGATCGTTTTCCTGTTTCCTCACCCTTGAAAACAACTGTGTCTAGCTTCTTTCTTGAAACTTGCCATAAATTTTACGAGGTTAATCTTTTGGTTCAACTATAATTGATTTTGTTGTAATTACATGCTTATTATTCATTTCAAGAACAAGTGGAGCGTATTGATTTAAGACATAGAATCTAATGTTTGTGGAAAAACATTTGATCATCTGTCAAGTTATTGACAGCTTTGGCAACTGTTGTTTTTGCAAATTTGATCAGTTTCAAGAATTCTTAAATTAGAAATTGTGTTCATCTTCAATTCTAAAAGTGACTTCAGTTCTCACGCGTGAGTGTTTCTCATTAATTAAAATGCCAATTTGGAAGGGAATTACTTCCTCTAGATTCAATTGAACTATATATATATATATATATATATATATATATATATATATATATATATATGCAGCTTTCGAGTGCATGATCAAAGAATAAACAATGCTGAAGCAATAGTGTAACGAGACAAGTAAAATAATAAATAAAGAAATGCATATAATTAAAGACAAGGAGTAAAGGCAAAATACTGGAAAGAAAGATAAAGAACCTGAATTAATCTTGAAGTAAAATTGCAGCATTTTACTAAAAAAAAAAATTACAGCATTTTTGTGTGGAATCGGTTCTGGCTTCAATGGCACTTTTATGTATGGCTTTCTTCTAGCTAGTTGACATTAGAGCAAGGACTTGGTAGTTTGTACCAAGTTCTTTTGACCATCGATGGCCATTTTCACGATCTTTTCGATAAATTCATGTTCGTACCTACAAAATACAAGATCATTTAATTCATTCATGCACAATTTTGCCTTCCTTCTATTTATAAGAATTTATTTAATCAAAATAATAAAATTAAATTTGACGGGTAAAAACAGATTGCCACACAAAATAGAAAACTTCAGTAAAACTGAAAACAGAACATTTTTTTTTCAATCGATTTAGAAACCTAATTAATCATTGGAGCACTGGCGGATTTTTCTCATACATTTTTTTTTCCCAAGTCTCAAGCTCTGACAAGAGGACACGATATCTCTTATATTAAGGGAAACAGAAACAACCTATTTATCACTTTAACAACACATATACCCCATGCATGTATATCCAACAAGAAAGATTTCTCATTTGACATTGTTACTAATGGTCAAGAAGGAGGTCAATATTAAGTAATTAATAGTCGCATATTATTAATTAAGGACAAGAATTAGTAGACATTGATTATGCAAATTCATCAGCTATAAGTAATTAAAAGCATACTGCAGTACGTACTCGTTCTCTTTTGATATGCAATCCAATCAAGCCGGCGACTTGAGACAAAGCTGACTTCCATTTCTGCACCCTCTGAGATTCCTTTCCGAACATTGTTTCATGTGCAGACATGGCATCACCATAACTTTTTGTTTGATTCCTTACATCCAACTGTTCCACTTTGTAAAATATCGGCAAAACTAACTGGTTCTTCATCTTCATACACTCAACGATCTTGGCAAGTTCACTGAGACACCACGAGGAATATGCATAGTTTTCAGAGAAAACAACAATTGAGAGCCTTGATTTTTCAATCGCTTGGATAAGAGTTTGTGAAATTTCATTCCCACCCATCAATACCTCATCATCCATAAAGGTTTTGAATCCGTCCCGGCGCAAAGGAGTGGCGGGTATCTTCCCCAGTGAAACTGAGAAAAACATCATACCGAGGCAAGGATTGGACGGCTGATTCCACAATCCTATCGATCAATTCATATTCGTACCTACGCAAGCACAAGTGCTTTTAAATTCATTAAGTGTAGTCTATTCAAACACAACCAATGGTTTTATTATTTACTAATCAGAAGTATTGAACTTGATCAAGTAAAAGTATTTGAAATTTGAATTTTTTTATTTTATTACATACCCAGTTCCAAAAGACCATCCGGCCAAGCTGGCGACTGTAGACAAAGCCTTCCCTCCATTTCTGCACTCTCTCAGCGTAATCTGGGGATTTTTTTTCTAATGCAGCGATGGCTTCACCATAGCTACCTCTTTGATTCCTTACCATGTGTGGTTCTACTCTGTAAAAGATGGGCCAAACCAGTTGGCCAATTGTGTTCATGCAGTCAAGGATCTTGACAAGTTCATCAAGACAGCGCGTGGAAGATGCATAGTTTTCGGAGAGAACAACAATTGAAACCCTTGAATCTTCAATTGCTTTAAGAATAGAGGGTGAGATTTGGTCGCCACGCTGGAGTAGCAGCTTATCATCATCTATGAAGAATGTCTTGATTCTCTTGTTACGCAAAGCGTTATACAGAGTACCGGTGAATGTGTAACGCTTATCTTGGTCACTAAAACTCAGAAAAATATCGTACCGTTCGAACGGCATCATGAACAGCGCCGCCAGTAGTCACAACTGCGGATTTTTTTTTTTTTTTTTAGCATAGTTCACTGCTCGTTTTTTACAAATAGGAAATTTTTTATTTTATCTGAGTACATATTTTTATTGTTATTTTCTTTTAAGTCCCAAATTTTTATATTTTTGGAAAGAATGTAACTTATGTAAGTACTTGGAGTAACGAAAAACTCTCATTACATACATAACATAAAAATTGGCATACTCAAGAGGAGCATATTTTCAGGAAGAAAATAATCATAAACACAGAGATAATATAAATTTATTATTTTTCCGTGTTTTCAGTAAGGGGGTGTTTGGTTCAGGAGAAATTTTTTTTTACTGGGGAAATAGAATGAGTAGGAAAATGATTTTGGTAGGAAAATGTAAAAAAAGTTGTTTGGTTCGCCAAAAGTTTACCGGGAAAATTGGGTTAAATTTTTTAAGTGTATGTTTGGTTGAAGATAGAATATTGATGGGAAAATTGTTTGAAAATACTAAAGTACCCTTTTTTTCTTTTACTATTTTTAAAAGTGAGTTTCCATTGTGTGTACATAGTATATTATGTGATGGGTAATTGTGTCATTGTATTCTTATGCTTTAATAACTTCTCAGATTTTTTCCTGAATACCACCTCCTCAATTGCTTTCTTCAACAGTGAAATTCATGCTTTTTAACACAGAAACCAGTTTGCCTAGGGAAGTGACATTGATGGGTAACAAACATGAAATCAGTGAACCAAACTTGGACAACCAAGTATCTAAGAATCACTTTGATGGAAAACAATGGCAAACTCCTCAACCAAACACCACCTAAGAGAACATGGGATCCACGCGGTTTGAGTGTTGACTCCTATTTCGTCTTTTCCTTTGAGACTTTTCTCCACCTTATTATATCACCTTATTTTTAATGAATTGAAAATGATAAAATATTTAACATTACCCAGTGAACCCCCCCTCATTGTGCGGATGGGATTTAGTTGATATTCTCTCAGAAAGTCAAACAAAACTTGAGATACTTCTTTTTCAGGGTTGTTGCTTCACGATACTTCCATTTGGAAATAAAAAAAAAAAAAAAATACCAAAAATTTTAAACTAAATAAGAAGCAATCGACACATGTTCACAACTGGAAGAGTTATAGGCCGCTGGATATTACAATCTCTTTGGTGAAAGGCATGTAACTCTTTAGTATGTAGTATTTATTTTCCGGCGTGTGCACGGAGCGGTTCATAATCAGTTTAATAAAAACTGAACCGAACTGATTTAAATAGTTTGGTTTTCAAACCGAATCAATTTTCTTCTTTTAAAATCGATTTTTAATTTGGAACTGGAATTGGCAAATAATTCCAGAGTTCTATTCGAGGAAGGCAATTGCCTCCTCTATATTCAATTGAAAATTGTGTATGATCAAGAATAAAAAATGAGTGAAGCAACAGGGAAACTAATAATGTAAATGAAACAGATAAGAGATTAATGAAGTCCAAGTAGAAACAGGAAGTAAAGGCAAAATAAGGTAAAGAAAGATGAAGAATCTAAATTAATCTTGAAGTAAAATAAAATTGTTACAAGTAAAATTGCTAAATGAAAGCAGAAATGACTAGAGGGATCCTTCTGAGAATGTGTTGCGACTTCGAGTATTTCAAGCCTCCAGCTAAATAGCTAATGGTCCTCGGGCTTATTTATACACTATCCCGAAACTCCTATTGTCCTAAGTACATGACAAGCGTCTAAAACATCTTTCCATTTCTGAGCCGGCGACGACCGCTTATAAAACCACCTGTTGAATTGATCAGTTCTCACATCGACGAGGACTTGGTATGACAAGCCATTTTAAATTTTAAGGGCACAATCCACAATTTTTTTGATAAGTTCATATTCGTACCTGCAGAAGTACACGGCCTTTTAATTCATTCATACATTCCATTTTCTTTCTGCTACTCAGAATTTATTTCACCAAAAATAATAAAATTAAGCTTGACTCGTTAATCTTCACCAATATAAATTATCACCCAAAATAACAAATCGCACTAAAATTGGAAACAAAACTAAGCCGTGTCTCCAATAACATTCCTTGTTAACAAAGTCACATTTCAAACAATAATTATAAGAATTGAATTCCAATTTAACGGTTCACAGGTTTTTATGAACGATGTATATATATACTGAGTAATTCAGAATCATATTTTTAACAACTAGTTCTACCAAAATAGACATTAATTATAAAACTTAAGCAAAAAGTAATTGAAAGTGTATCATGTACCCGGATTTCAAGTGCCATCCTTTCAAGTTGGCAACTTGAGACAAAGCTAGCCTCCATTCCTGCACCTTCTTGGAGTCCTTTCCTAGCCTATTTTCATGTGCTTCAATGGCTTTGCCATAATTATTTCTTAGATGCCTTATATCCGACGGTTCCACTTTGTAAAAGATTGGCCAGACCAATCTGTTTTTCCTCTTCATACAGTCAAGGATCACGACAAGTTCATCAAGACGCAAGGAGGAACATGCATAGTTTTGAGAAAAAACAATGATTGAAAGCCTTGATTTTTCAATTGTTTTAATAAGAGATTCTGAAATTTGGTCCACGTCCTCCAATCGCTCGTTATTCATGAAGGTTTTGAATCCCTCGTGTCGCAAAGCATTATAGAGAAAACAGCTAAAGGAGTAGCCGGTATCTTTTCCACTAAAACTGAGAAAAACATCGTAGCGGGGCAAGCTTCGGGTGACTTGTTCCACAATCTCTTGGATAAGTTCATATTCGTAGCCACAGTACCTACAAAAGTAAAAGACCTTTCCTTTGAATTCATTCATGCAGAGTTTTCGTTTTCTTTCTACTAATCAGAATTACTAGTACGGTATAATAAAATTGAGCTTGCGTAATCAATCTAACACAAAGACACAGATTGTTACACCAAATACAAAACAAAACCTTTATCTAAGAGAGTCAAAAACAAAAAACAAAAATTATATATATATTCACCAGTTCATCTATTACCCCTCTAGTCATTCGAGCATTGTTACACACTTAGACCCATCACAAGGAGTGACCGACCATTTTCTCCCACACGAGACTCGAACTCAGACGCTTCATATCCGGGCAAGTTCACTTTTTGAAACGATAATTAGAGTTGTTGGAAAGTAAACAAACCCGTACCCAATTTTGAAATGCCATCCAGACATGTTGGCGACTTCAGACAAAGCTGACCTCCATCTCTCCAGTTTCTCATAGTCTTTTCCGAACCGATGTTCCAGTTTAGCCATGGCATGTTCATAAGTACCTGTCTGACGCCTTACATCGGAGGGATCCACATCGTAGAAGATTGGCAAAACCAGTTGGTTCTTCTCCTTTGTACAGTCAAGGATCTTGACTAGTTCACTAAGACACCACCCGGAATCTGCATAGTTCTCGGAAAGAACAACAATGGAAATCCTTGATTCTTGGACTGCATCAAGAATAGAGGATACGATTTGGTCGCCACTCTTCAATCCAACCTCAGCCATGAAGGTCTTGAATCTCTTGAGGCGCAAAGCATTATAGAGATTACCAGTGAAGGTGTAGCGGGTATCTGAGCCCCTAAAACTGAGAAAAACATCGTAGTGGTAGTTGTTGGGCTTCCTCCTTCAATGCTAAGCCTAAGCCCATTTGAGGGGTTTCTTAAAAATCCTAACCCTAATTTTCACCTCCTCTATATATACTCCATTAGTTGTGGGTGGAGGCTAGGTCAGATTTGAGAGAACAAATTTGAGAGAATTATTTGATTGTTTGAGCAAGGCTTTATGCTTTGCATTTGAAAGATCTCTAGAGAGAGAGTTTGAGTGAAACATCTCTAGGGTAGTTTGATTATCACCATTGTTGGAGAGGTTGAGTTAACCACCGTATTTGATTATTTGTAACCATTTTTTTCATAGTGGATTTTTGATCTGGACTAGGTCCCGTGGGTTTTTACTTCTTCATTGGAGAAGGTTTTCCCACGTTAAATCTGGTTGTGTTCTTCTTCTCTCTCTCCTGTTTTTCGTTTTTATTTTTCCGCTGCGCTGCTCGACCTGGTGAAGTTCAGGCCGATGTATTGCCGAGATCCGAGATCAGGATCTTGTTGATTGACTTCCGCACAAAGGCTGCATAGCCGAGCTTGAGGGAACCGAGTTTTCCCAACAGTGGTATCAGAGCTCGGGTTCGACGGGTTCTGAGGGAGACGAGATGGAGACCAGTGGCATAACTCATGATGGAGATATGTTCAAGTTGACCGCAGATAATTTCACATATTGGAGACCGATGATGGAAGATCATCTCTACTGCAAAGATCTACATGAGCCCATTATCCTAGATGAGAGACCAGCAGGCAAGACAGATAAGGAGTGGGAGATCCTGAGTCGGAAGGCGGTAGCCACGATCAGGAAATATATTGATAAAAGCCTCTTTGAGCACGTGTCCGAAATCACGAACGCGTATGAGTTGTGGACGAAATTAGAGTTCATGATTCAGAAGAAGACTCCCAGGAACAAAGCACACCTGGTTCGCCGACTTGTTAAGCTTGAATACAAGGACGGCATGAGCATGATTGAACACCTGAACACCTACAAAGGTATTGTGAATCAGTTGTCAAAGCCGAAATACAAGTTGAAGTGTTTTTACTGTGGAAAGACAGGCCATAAGAAGCCAGACTGTTGGACCCTGCAGAATGACGAGAAGAATGGCTCTGTGAAGCCGGATCAGATTATTCCCAAGAAGAGGGAAGATAAGAGCACCACTGCGGTGACTGCCAACCCTGATGCCGAGATATTCCTCCTTGGTGAGGATAATTATTTGAATGTTGCATATGATGACTCCACCTGGATTGTTGACTCTGGTGCCTCCTTCCACGTTACTCCACACAAAGGTTTTTCTCCTCTTATCGAGATGGTGATTTTGGAGTCGTGAAGATGGGAAATCAAGTGACCAGCAAGATTGTTGGTGTCGTTGATGTAACTCTGACCACGGATGTCGGGTGCCGACTTGTGTTGAAAGATGTGAGGCATGTTCCTGACATGCGTTTGAACCTAATCTCGGTAGGCAAACTTGATGATGCCGGGTTAGTGAACTACTTTGGTAGTGTTAGATGGAAGCTGGCCAAGGGAAACTTGGTCGTGGCCCGAGGTAAGAAAGAAGGCTCCTTGTACGTGATGCAAGGAAAGATCAATGGCGGAGAAGCCAATTCTGTTCGAGATGAACCTAGCTTGGAGCTATGGCACAAGCGCCTCGGCCACATGAGCGAGAAAGGGCTACAGATCCTGAACAAGAAAGGATTACTGACCGGGTTGAAAGGCCAAGCGTTGGAGAGTTGCACGCATTGCCTAGCTGGAAAGCAGCACCGAGTTTCTTTTGTGAAACCGGATCAACCTAGACGACGCAGGTATATTCTTGACCTCGTCCATACTGATGTCTGCTCCATGTCGAAAAAATCCCTTGGAGGAGCTCAGTACTTTGTTTCATTTATAGATGACCATTCCCGCAAAGTGTGGGTATATTTGTTGAAGTCTAAAGACCAGGTACTCCAATCATTTAAAGAATTCCATGCAATGGTTGAAAGGGAGACTGGCAAGAAATTAAAGGTGGTCCGATCTGATAATGGTGGTGAGTATTGCAGCCCATTTGATGCATACTGCAGAACGTCCGGGATTCGACTTGAGAAGACGCCCCCCAAGACTCCACAGTTAAATGGACTGGCTGAGAGGATGAACAGAACAATTGAAGAAAAGGTACGAAGCATGTTATCTAATGCCGGATTGCCGAAATCATTCTGGGGAGAAGCCGTAAAAATAGTTGTTGACTTAATCAACCTCTCGCCATCACGGCCACTTGAAGGAGAAATTCCAGAAAAAGTCTGGACAGGTCGGAAAGCGGCCTATAATCAATTGAAAGTGTTTGGATGCCGAGCTTTCGTGCATATCCCTAAAGATGAAAGGGCCAAACTTGATGCAAAGACTAAAGAATGCATTTATCTTGGTTCGCCGAGATGTGAGTTCGGGTTCCGACTTTGGGATCCAATCAATAAGAAGATCGTGAGAAGCCGAGATGTGATCTTTCATGAGCATGAGAACATTCATGACATCTCGAAGCCCAAAGTCCGGGTTACTGTCAGACATAAAGAACCCATCCCTCCTGTCCGAGCTGAAGCAGGGGGAGAAAATCAAGAGAATGAAGAAAGTGATGACCAGCAACATGCTGAAGATGACCAAGACATTGAGGTTCGAGTTGATGATGAGATCCGGGATGAAATTGATGAACCGGGTTCTCAAGCTGAAGAACAGCCGAGATATCCAACTCGAGAAAGAAGACCCTCTACAAGATACCCATCCGATGAATACACCGTTATTGCTGAAGACGGTGAGCCTCAAAGTTATGATGAGGTTGTGACGAGCTCAGAGAAAGAAGAATGGAAAAAGGCAATGCAGGACGAGATGAAGTCTCTACACGAGAATCAGACTTATGAGCTGACTGAGTTGCCTAAAGGTAGACGAGCTTTGAAAAACAAATGGGTCTACAAGATTAAGAATGAAGAGAACGGGCAAAAGCCGAGATACAAAGCCTGAATTGTAGTGAAAGGCTGCAATCAGAAGAAAGGAGTTGATTTTGAGGAGATTTTTTCTCCTGTGGTGAAAATGACCTCGGTCCGAACCGTGTTAGCCATGGCGGCTTCAATGGACCTCGAGGTAGAACAAATGGACGTGAAGACGGCATTTCTTCACGGTGACTTAGAAGAAGAAATATATATGGAGCAACCTGAAGGATTCCAAGCTCCAGACCAAGAAGACTTGGTATGTCGGTTGAAGAAGAGCCTCTATGGCTTGAAGCAAGCACCTCGGCAGTGGTACAAGAAGTTTGAATCATTCATGACTGATCATAAGTTTGAGAAGACTGAAGCCGACCACTGCGTATTTGTGAAGAGGTATGAGGCAGGAGATTTTTTGATTTTGTTGTTATATGTTGACGACATGCTTATTGTAGGGAAAGAAAAATCGAGGATAGTCGCCCTGAAAAAGGCGTTGAGCTCGTCCTTCGCAATGAAGGACCTCGGCCCTGCAAAGCAGATTCTTGGAATCAAGATCATCCGAGATAGACAGAAGAAGCTACTGTGGCTGAGTCAAGAGAAATATATTGAGAAGATTTTGAAGAGATTTAGCATAGACAAAGCCAAAACAGTGAGCACCCCCTAGCCGGACACATAAAGCTAAACCAGAAGCAATGTCCGAGATCTGATGAAGACAAAGATGAAATGATGAAGGTCCCTTACCAATCCGTCGTCGGAAGCTTGATGTATGCAATGGTTTGCACTAGACCCGACTTGGCGTATGTTGTTGGAATGGTAAGCCGGTATTTATCAAACCCCGACAAAGAGCACTGGGAAGCAGTGAAGTGGATCTTCAAGTACCTCTGAGGTACGACCGACTTATGTCTCTGATTTGGAGAAGGCAAAGCCGAGTTGCAAGGATACTCAGATTCTGATTTAGGGGGAGATTTCGACTCGAGGAAGTCGACGACGGGATACATGATGAGATTTGCCGGAGGAGCTTTCTCTTAGCAATCAAGACTTCAGAAATGTGTTGCACTATCGACAACTGAGGCTGAGTACATTGCCGCTACTGAGGCAAGCAAAGAGATGTTGTGGATGAAGAAGTTCCTCATGGAACTCGGCCATGATCAAGACAAGTACGAGCTCGGTTGTGACAATCAAAGCGCAATCCATGTTGCGAAGAATTCAACCTATCACTCCCGCACTAAGCATATTGATGTGAGGTATCACTGGATCCGGGATGTGGTGGAAGGTGGTGAGCTCGAACTCGTCAAGGTGCACACTGACCAAAATTGGTCCGACATGATGACAAAGCCGGTTCCAGCAAGAAAATTTGAAGACTGCTGTGAAGGAGCTGGGTTGATGCTGAAGCCGACACATTGAAGTCGGATGGGGAGATTTGTTGGGCTTCCTCCTTCAATGCTAAGCCCAAGCCCATTTGAGGGGTTTCCTAAAAACCCTAACCCTAATTTTCACCTCCTCTATATATACTCATTAGTTGTGGGTGGAGGCTAGGTCAGATTTGAAAGAACAAATTTGAGAGAATTATTTGATTGTTTGAGCAAGGCTTTATGCTTTGCATTTGAAAGATCTCTAGAGAGAGAGTTTGAGTGAAACATCTCTAGGGTAGTTCGATTATCACCATTGTTGGAGAGGTTGAGTTAACCACCACATTGGTGTATTTGATTATTTGTAACCATTTTTTCCATAGTGGATTTCTGATCTGGACTAGGTCCCGTGGGTTTTTACTTCTTCATTGGAGAAGGTTTTCCCACGCTAAATCTGGTTGTGTTCTTCTTCTCTCTCTCATGTTTTTCGTTTTGATTTTTCCGCTGCGCTGCTCGACCTAGTGAAGTTCAGGCCGATGTATTGCCGAGATCCAAGATCAGGATCTTGTTGATTGACTTCCGCACAAAGGCTGCATAGCCGAGCTTGAGGGAACCGAATTTTCCCAACAGTAGTTGGGTTCGTCGATGACAATGGCCCCTTCTTTCGCCATCATCAATTTATAAGGATATGATGGCAACAAGCAGAGTACTAAGTACTTAAACAAAAAGGAAGGGATGCCATAAGAATTGAATCATGAGGAGGAGGTTCTACACATGTCAACCAAAAACAAAAACAAAAACAAAAAATGCTGATGGTGTTGTGACTTGTCACTCTTCTCTTCTTCTCTGCGCTATTTTTATTATCTAAGCGTTTTTATTTTATTTTTTTATAAACCATGTTATGCTCCACTAGACATAATTCTGCTCAGCTCGAATGAGCCAATTAAATTAGCATCATTTGTTATTTCTAAGCATCCCCAAATATACCTCCCTAACGCCGTGCTGTCACCTAGTTACCGTTCTCAAAACGACCAAGAAAATTCATAGTTAGTAGGAAGAGATTATATTTACAACATTTCTTTTCTTATAATCTCTTACGATAACTTTTATGATTATATTATCAAATCAACATACTTTTATTTAATATTATTTTATAACCATTGATTTAATTTTTATCTAATAACCATAAAAATAATTGTAATTTGTAAAAGAAAAGAGGTTGTACATCTCTCTCTCGATATTAATATCACTCGTCCTAAAATAAGTTTTCTATATGTTAATAATGTATTTTTTATTTTTATCAAATAGTAGTAATTCAGTTGGCATATGTGATGGTTTATCCACACACAAAAAATGTTTTTTTTTATTTGGTTAAGGGGAGATGTGAAATTCCAAAACCAGTAGAACGTAACATTTGATATAACTAATGAGATAAATTCATGTAAAAATAAACCAAATTCAATATTAAATTTGATTAAAACTAGTTTAAAATTAGCTCTAGAGTAAATCTAATTTGGCTAAAAAATTAATTGTATAATAAACTGTATTTAATAACTAAACAATAACTTTATAATTAGGACAAAAACATTATTATACACATATATTAGAATATTAATTACATAGAAAAGATGAAATAATATCATTAACTTATTAATACAGAAGCAAATTTTGTTAAAAAATATCCATAATAAAATTATTTTTCGAATAGATTTTGAAAACAAACAATTATCATTTAAAAAAATGAATATGATCATAATGGGTTACTGAGTGGATTTTGTGAATGTCGTACTAAGAAAAAAATATTATATGATCATTACCAAAATATATATATATATATATATATATATATATATATATATATATGGCAAAATGATTTCTGCAGCTGCTGTACCTACAGCAAGCAAGGATACACGTCCGAATCCTAGGATACGGCAACGGATCCTGAGTTTTTTTTTTTTTTTAAAAAGCGCTGGAGTCCACTTTTCTGTGTCAGCTATAGATAACACTATATACGGCTGCTGCAGAAATGTTAAGCCCTATATATATATATATATATATATATATATATATATATATATATATTATATGATACTATAACAGATTGTTTTCTTTTTCTTTTTCATCATTATTGCCCGGCTTGTGTAATTTGTATTAAACCTTTTTTTTATAAATCACATATATATTCAGGGGAGGCATGTAATTATATTCAAGCATAGGATATCCATATTAGGTGAGATTAGCTCTCATAAAGGAAATTTTTTTACATTCACAATGACTTAAATTCAAAATTTTTCTTAAGCAAAATCAAGTATGTATCACTTGAAACAACACTTTTGATTGTAATTTATATTAAACCTTCATAATTCAAAATCGCGGCAGGCTTATCTGTTGTTTTTTAGATTTTTTATTTGTCATGACATTGACATGGTACATGTTTTGTTCGTTGAGGATACGGCAAAAGTTCCGTACTACGTTTATTTTTTAAAAGTATCTCCGTAATGAAACACATTTCGAAAGATTGTCCAGAATAGAGCAGTCAAACACGTTGGTTTGACTGACGAGATAAGTCCCGCCACTGACCAAGACGTCACTAGATGCCACGTCGGATTCTGGACCATTCACGACAGTCCAAGTGACGAGTTTCCACGTGTGCTGTCATCATTTGTGACGCATTCCAGTCCCGCCATGCCATGTGACGAGGATACCTGACGCACCCGCCACGTATGTTGACGTGATTAGACGTGTGGAGCTGTCACACTAGGTGACAGGTTACATTGTTCTTCAGTGTCGATGTCCACAAGATACTCGTGGGGTAGCGTACCATACTTACAAATTTAATCTCGCTACTGACACTTACAGGAATACCTAACTTGTTATATATAGGCTCTTCCGATGTTGCTCAATATGTGACAATTTGAAGTCGGGGGTGTTTGCTATTTTTTTATCTGATTTTGACTGACTGGTTCTTTACTGATAATTTTTTTGTATCACTTCCAATGTGTATTTAATGTTGTTTATTTACTTTTTTGTAATCTCCATTTTCCTCTAATCTTTTGTGTTATTTGCATAAATACACAATACTACAATGGAACAATTTCGTTCGTTTGTATATTATAATGGTTCTAAAAATAATGGTGTAGGCGAGTTGAGTTTCAAAGGGGAAAAAAGAGCAATTTATATTGTCTGAGGCTTGTCCATTGAAGATCTACTTCAGAAGATTCGTCAGAAGTTAAAATTGCAACAAAATCAGGTAATATCTTCAGTTACGGATTGAGTCCCATGTGTAAATCGCAAATATGCAGGTTTTGAAATAACTGATGATGAGGACATTGACATTTTTCTTGGAACATTTGTCAAAATTCTACTACGTCTCAATTTGTTGAGTTATACATAGATATTGAGACATCTGAGGACATGTCAACACCAACATGTGGATTGGACCTTAACAGTCAGACACAAATGCCGTTCTCATCGGTACCCCCAGCCCACACAATCAACTATTGTGCATGAAGAAGAAAGCGACTATATGGTAAATGTTGAACCTGACAATGAAAAGGAAGAGGAAGATAAAGACAATCTATTGGCAAATGACCGTGTTTGATTAGCTTTTTTATATTTACCACTTATAAAAACTGAAAATATGTTACAAAAAATTTACTAATTATTATATTTGCTTAATATTACTAATTATTTTATTTTTTAATTAGGAAAAACAAATGGGCCAGTTTTTACTAATTAAAACAAATTTACTAATTATTAAAACAACCATTCCATTTTATTTTATTTTTAATTTCTTCATGTTATCAATTTCTTTTCATGCCACCCTGTTTTGTCTTCAATTGTAGAAACGCGTCTGTAGTTTTGTTTGACAGTGGACTCCATTAAAGAATTATGTCCTAAGAGATTTTAAAATAAAAAAATGAGACAATTTTTTTAACAGGAATGCGTTTGAAAAAACTAGTTCAGAACACATGTATATCTCCAAACGAAGACACCACAACATGCTCTACTAATTACAATACAACATTCATTAGTTAAAAAACACATGCAAAGAAAACACCACATGCAACCCCAAACCTGTGGTACGTGAAAAAAAAAAAAAAAAAACCAGATACACCTATAAATAATGCAGATTCAGAACACCATAACCCTAAAAAAATAATACCCTACACAAATACAACAAATCCAACCAATAGGTAAAATAATGCAACACTATACCTGTGGTTTCGTGACTAAACGGAAAGTGTTGAAGGATACAATATGTACTGCTAATGCTGATGAAGTTGATAAAGCCACTTAGCTGACGTGGACTCACACTGATGCAGTTGTTATGTAACTGACGTGGAGTTAGTTCATTAGTTCCATCATTTACGGAGATTAGTTGTATTAGTTGGTTTCAGTTAATTTCTTTTGTATTAGTTAGTGCTTATGTTGAGTATCAGTTTCTGTATAGTTTGCTTTACTTCATATATAAGTTGTAATAGCTGTAGCCATTTCATTATTGAAATCATTTTCTTCACAAATGAAAATACAGAAAGTTTTGTTTCTTAAGATGGTATCAAAGCTTCTCAAGAAGCTCTGATTCTCAGTTCTCCAAAAAAAAAATTCGTTACTCGATTGTTGAATCACAATCTTAAACCAGAACAATGGCGAATCAGAGCTTATCATTCGATTTTGTCTCAAATCCAACTCATATGTATTATCTGCATCCAAGCGAAAATCCTTCACAAGTATTGGTTTCTTCGTTGCTAGATGGAAGAAATTACCATACCTGGTCTCGTGCCATTTCTATGGCATTCCTGTCTAAAAACAAGACTGGATTCATTGATGGAAGTCTACCTCCACCTCCAACCATAGATCCTTCATATAATGCATGGCAACAGTGCAACACTACCGTGCTTTCATGGATACATCATTCCATTTCACCATCTATTCTGCAATCGATTCTCTGGATAGATCGAGCAGAAGATACTTGGAAAGATTTGAAGGAACGCTTTTCACAAGCAGACATTTTCAGGATCTCAGACTTGCAAGAAAAGATTTACAAGTTGAGACAAGGAGATACAAATGTAAGTGAATATTGCACACATTTGAAGAGTTTGTGCGATGAACTGGAAAATTTAAGGCCATTGCCTACCTATCAGTGTGCTATGGCGTGCAACTGTCCAGCTTTACTTGAAATTCGTGTTAGGAGACATCAAGATCACACCATCAGGTTCTTAAAGGGCTTAAATGAGCAATATGCTCCAGTTCGATCGCAGATAATGTTGATAAACCCTCTGCCCGATGTTAATAAGGTGTGCTCAATGCTAGCTCAACAAGAACGTGAGTTTTATTCGAATTTTTCTGCTGATGACATGCCAAAAGCGTTTATTAGTGCATCAGATGAGAATAGAGGATACTATGCATCAGGAAGGGGCAGAGGATGCTTCTACAGCAGAGGTGGTAGAGGTAGAGGAAGAGATTCAAGGTTTTGCACTCATGGTAAAATGAGTAATCACACCATAGAAACCTGTTATTTTAAACATGGTTTCCCTCCTGGATATAGAGTGAGGAATGATCAAGCTGATAATGACGCAATACGTGCCAATTGTGCATAAAGGAACTTAGATTCTTCGGCTGTGACTTTATCTACTCAACAACTTCATGATCTTGTTCAAGCCTTGCGATCTTCCACAGATTCTGTAACACCCCGTATATATCCGGTAATGTTATCATAATATCGTATTAAGCTGCGCTTAATTAAAATGCGGAATTACTTTTTCTTTTCAATTATGATGCCATTAACATTACCAACTTACTCAATAATCAATTAATAAAACATCGCCTGTATGTAATTGCAATAAAACAGCTAACTGAAATACCTCATAACATAGATAATATAAATGTGGCTCTAGTCACGGAACTACAACAACGTAGACCGGACCATCTAACAGTTTATACAACTCCAAACTACAAGTACTAACAGAAGGTGTCATGGACAATCCCCATGCTCACTCAAATAAGGCAACATGCCCAACATCAGTCTCAACAACATCATATCATAAATAGCGGAAAACATAAACAGCATCCAAATCCAGTCATGCTAACAAATAAGCAGAAACAACAAAATCAGCTAAGCTCCGGCCTCCCGCCGCCTGAGGCATCAGTACCCATACTACCTGATCCTGAAATAAGCATTCCCCAAACGTGGGGTAAGATCTCTAATCTAGAAATCTCAGTAAGTCAGTGAGTCCTCAAGGATCTTCCACCCCAAGCTCACTTACATGTGCAATATAAGTTCAAAAGCAGTTTATCATTTCTCATTTCAAAAACAATACAATGCAGCAGATAATCATGTCATGTGTGTCAATACTAATCTACTGGCCAGAGACAGTGCAGGTATACGTCTATCACCTACACACCGTGCAAGTACCACTTGCATTCACCCCGGTACACTATCTTGTATGGCGCTACATACTCAGGCTTCCCGTCAAGATGAAACAACACATGCATATTAAAAGTCATTACATGTAAAGTTCAATCAACATATCAAATATCCAAAAGCATGTACGCAGCATGCATAAACCATACCCCCATGGGACATGGTGAAACCACAACATGGCTAAACCGAGGACACGAAAGCTTACCTTGCAAGCTAACTCCAAAAGCCAAGAGTCCACAGCTCAAAGTCCAAACACAGCAGATTCACAATCTGTTATGGACCAACAATACATCAACAACATGCACCACAAGCATACAATATTAAGACAACACCTTTTCATTACGTTTTCAAGTCTTAAAGCTTCTAACAAAGCCACAAGCCCTTAATCCCATGATTCTGGCTTAGTCCATTAAAAACAGAAGTTCAACTTCATCAATCTAGGGTCTACAAACCCCCAATAGCCTACTGTATGCACAACACAGCTACTGTTCTGCGAAATCCCAGAATATCCGGATATTCCTCGGGACCATATCTGGATATGCAATATCCGGATATCCAGAATCCCATATCCGGATATCTAGTATCCAGATATCCCAAAACCCCATATCCGAATACACATATCCGGATATCATATCCGGATATTCCACGGGCCGATATCCGGATATTTCACGACAGAATGCAGTTTCTGCATTTTCGTGAAGATATCCTTCCAAGGTTGGGTTTTTACCGATTTTAAACACCTAAATATGCATTTCTAGGTGTGTTCAACATAACCCCACAACAAGTTATCATCTTTTGACCTTAACATGCATCAAGCTTTCATTTTTAAGCATTAAACTCAAGATCAAATGTTGGTATACATACCAAAGGCTTAAAACAGAGAAGGAGATGCTCTTGGAGCTCAACACAGCCCCTCAAGTCTGACTCAAGAAAGATGCACGAAAATGGCTTCACAAGGGTTGGTTCTTCTCACCAAAGGTCACCACTTGGACCTCCAAAATGGCATAACTATGGCTTTCAGCAACCACACCACCCAAAACCAGCACTCTCACCCACACACAGAGGATGGAAACTCAGAATACACCCTCACACTTTCTCACCATGCATGTTCTTAAGTGTATACAAGCTCAAAGAGGGGAGAAATCAAGTAAAGGTGACAACTTGAGTTCAAAAATGGTGAAAGGAGGCAATGGAACAGTAAACCACCCTCAGCCCACCAAGTGTCTCACGTAGGAATTCTGGTATGCCTAGGGTTATGTGCTA